GGCCCTGGTCTGTGACGACTACTTCGTCCCATCGCTGGAGAAGATCAGCGAGGTCAGTCGGTCGAGCACAGTTTGGAGAGCGGCTGAGACACTGTATTCTGTCATCTGCTTGTGTGTGTGTGTGTGAGCGGGTATACCTTACCTTATGGGGACACAATGTCCCCACAACGTGATGAATACCCTTTTTTTCCCTTATGGGGGCCAGTTTCCTGTTCCCCATAAGGGAAAACTCAATTTAATAAAAATCTGTGACTGCAACGAAAAAACTAAAAATGCAAAAACTCTTGTATTTTGCTTGGTTGCTTATGGTTATGGTTAGGGCTGGGTAGGGGTTAAGGTTGTCATAGTTAGCGTTAGCATTTTTCCCATAGAAATGAATGAGTGGTCCCCATAAAGATATGTTTACCCGACACGTGCCTGTGTGTGTGTGTGTGTGTGTGTATTCATGCGTGAGTTGTTTATTCTCACCCGCCCCCCCTCTCCATGTCCCACAGCGGCTCCAGCTCAGTGAGGATGTGGCGGGGGCCACGTTCATGGCGGCGGGAAGTTCTGCTCCGGAGCTCTTTACCTCCATCATCGGTGACGGACCCTCTCCACCTTCATCATGCACCATCTGCATGTGTTGTTACCTTTCTAACCTCATTCTCCACCCCATCTGTCTCTTCTCCCCCCTGCAGGTGTCTTCATCACCAAGGGTGATGTCGGCGTTGGCACCATCGTGGGCTCTGCCGTCTTCAACGTCCTCTGCATCATCGGCGTTTGCGGGATCTTCGCCGGCCAGGTAGCGATGGAGGTGGTTGGTCTCTGGGAGGCCGACCTGCCCCCCCCCCAAAACCCAGCATGCGGGTGTCATTACTGGCCATTACTTCCTGAGACATAGAATATACAACTCGGTGTTGACAGGATACAAGGAAAACTGATTTAGAGTGTGGCAGCCCCCCCCCCATTCACCCCCATCTTCTGTCTGTCTGACTCTCAGCGATACAGTATCTGCTGAACATTAGCATTAACGCTGGGAGTGACCGTTCCCTGAACACCGTGCTCCCGGAGTGTGCAGGTTCCCTCATTTGACAGTTCTCCGATGGTTCCTCGCTCGCTCCATTTATCGGCCCATTAGGGTATCCTGTTTCTTGGGTTCCTCTGTAACACCAGTTCATCCCTGGCTATTTTCAGCTGGCGCTCGGATCAACAGTGTCGTCTTTTCTGATGCAGGGACATTGAATCCGACGCGACATAAACTACCTGTGGACTGTATGAAACATGCACTGGAACCTGGACAGTCTGCTCTAACCAGACAGGAACATTTCCTCTTTCTTATCTTCCACCTTCCCACCCAAACAGACTGATCCTGTCTTGACTCCTCATGTCATGTACCTCAGCTAAAAAGCTTGCATTTACATAATGCCCTGCTTTCACTGGGGTCTCAGAACTGTTTCTACTATCCTGTCTCAGATATATTCGATTACAGCTATCAAGTGTAGAGTCAGCACTAAACTTGTCAAAACACAGTAATTGAATACAGATCATACATTGTCCTCCATTACAGTCAGTATTTCTCCACTGTAGGCTTGGGTGGTGACTGGGGGGGTGAACATTGCGGGCAGTTTTGCGGGGGCTGCAGGGTTGTCCTCTCCTGCTAAACTGTGCGCTCCTCCTCCCCCCCGCACAGGCGATCCGTCTCTCCTACTGGGCTCTCCTGAGGGACTCTGTGTACTACACCATAGCCGTGGCCGCATTAATCCTGGTGAGTAGGCCCTCTGAGTACGAGCACAGGCCGTGAGGCCGACGCCAGAGGAATGCGAATCCGTATTGGGAGCCTGAAGGCACTTAGACTGGGATTTTAGGGTTTGGCACTGGGATTTTAGGGTTTGGGACTGGGATTGGAACCTGCAGCGTTGATCTGAACATACGGAAGTGCAGATGTGAAAGCGGGTCGGACGTCTGTGTGTCTTGGGTTTTCAACAAACTAGAAGGAAATGGATAAAATGAACTGATTGGAGCAAATATCTCATAAAATATTACCAGCCGTATCTAAAAAGGAAATAGATTTTGCCCTCATTCTTCTTGATTTGTTCGTAATAAATTATTTTTATGGATTTCCATTAAGTCAGAATTTAATTATGTTGTCATTATTTTAACAGCTGTCATTAGCCCCGTTTTTATTGGGAGTATAATTATGGTCGTGTTTATGTGACCGTTGCTGGGCAAATTAAACATCTTGGTCTTGACATTGGTCAGCCCGTGTCATGCTGGTGAAATGCAGTCTGGCCTTCATCCTGGGGAGTGATTAGCCATGAGCGACGCCCCCGTCCATATGGTCCTCTGTGTGGGCAAACATTTGCTTTGTGGGCCGTGACCTCAGAGGCCAAAGGCCAGTAAACCATCTCCATGTTAGTTTTGCACAGCTTGCGTCAACAGGACTGACCTGCAACTGCCTGGATTTAATTGCTCTTAACATTTAACGCCACAAATGCCGCATGTCATGGCTGCCTTTTCTCATCCAGTGTACCTGAATGTCACTGACCCGAGATCAGCTAATCCGCGCTGTTCGTGAACATTTACAGCATGTGAATCGTAATTATGGCTGTCAGTCGTTAACATTTGCCAGTTCAGTGCAGCTGGCGGTTGCCAGAACAAAGGACGTCAGAATCAGTGTACGCACAAACGGATTCTTCTATTTGGACATTATCTATAAACTTGGGCATTGTTAAGTCAGAATAAAAGTGGCCACGTCCTGGTGGACGGATGCTGCGATCGACTGACATCAAATCAGATGTTTGGCTTTTCGAGCACAAGCTGTGGGTTAGTGTGCCCCCTGGTGGTACATTTCTGAAATGGCAGGTTATGCTGCTTTTACTGGTTCCTATGAGAGAAGCCCGAAAGTATAGACCTTCTTCAGAATGTATCAATGTGCACACACAGTCGAGGCTTTGGTTTTGTAAAGCTTATTCTGAATTCCAGTTTGTCAGGGGAGTCACGGCTTACTTTTATTCCCCTCCTTTGCAGGTTATCTATGATGAGAAGGTTTCCTGGTAAGTCCCATGTTACCGTCCTCCTGGTCTATCATAAATCAATGAGTTTGCTTTATTTTAACTGTAGCCGTGGGAGTAAAGCTTTAGCAGAACTGTGTGTTTGAATGGAACCTCTCGCCGAACAAGGTCTCTTGTTGAGGTGCACAATCCATTTTTCAATTTTAATGGCTAGCAGACACTGACTTGAAGAGATTGTATTTAAGTAGCTTAAATTTTGACACTTTTACCTGCAAATATTCTGCTGAAGCTGAGAGTGGCTTCCATCCTGGGATTTAAATTTTCCATCTCGCATCACAGCTCAGCCTGCCTTGTTCTGTGGGAAAGTCTTTGTAGTTTATGCTAATCTGTCAAATATTTATTTCTTTGTTCCAGGCAGGAGTCTTTGGTCCTGATTCTAATGTACTTGGTCTACATACTCATCATGAAGTAAGTGCTGCAGCACGGAGATTGGACCTCATCCCGTTTGAGATGTCCCGTGGGTTGGGTCCGGGCCTCCCTGTCGGAGATGGGGTGGGGGCGGCGAGCGTGGCTGAGCTCCTCTGTCTCTCATACTGGATGAAGGTTCAACTCGCCAGTGCTGCGCTACTTGGAGCAGAGGAATAAGGACTCTGCAAGCCTGGCCAATGGGACGGGCGGCAACATGGATGCCGATGACGGCAACTGCGATGCCACAGTGGTGCTGCTGAAGAAAGGTGAGGCTCTTATGCCTGTTTGCGCTGGTGGCCCTTAGTTAAAAGAAGATGGCAAACAGACCCGGGGCCCCCAACCCGGGGCCCCCAACTATTTTCCCCCAAGGGTCAAATTCCATCAGCAATACAAAGCCAAGGTCCACTACTCCTGATACATTTCTTGGGGGGGATACAGTGAGAAAATTTGCTGTGGGGTTGGGGGGGGGGTGGGGGGTGTCAATCAATTGCATGGCCTGGATTAAATCTGACAAGTGGACCCAATGGGGGGGGGGGGCAGTGGCAATGGTAAAAGCTGTCAGTGGCAGGCGGGTCCACAACGACACCCCTGGGAGGGACTGGGCTTATTTGTTTTAAGATGAACACCTTTATTGAACAATAAAATAAATTTCTTGGTGGATAGCATTTGGCAGCGGGGGGGGGCATAATGGCTCTTCTGAGTGGGCTGTGGCCCATGAATGCCCCCCATGACTCCAACCCTGTTGGGGGTCCCTGAAGTAAACCCATAATGTCATACGATCCATACACACTTGATGTAACGTATTGTTTCCGGTTTGCCTTCAGTGCCCTGTAGTGCCCCATTCCCTCAAAGGCAGCCCTGCTCCCTTGGCCCTGAATGACATTAACCCTTGGTAGCATCGTATTGTCTCTCATGAAGCTGCCTTTCTGCCTTCTTCCCTAACCCTAACCCTAACCGGTATTCCTGACTCCCTGCTTGGCTCTCTTGGTTTTCCACCAAATTAACCACGTGACCTGCCGAACCGCTTTGCTTTCCACTATGTTTGGTCTTCATGCTGGTTGGTGTTGTCAGCTCCTCACCGTTACTGCCTGTCCTGCCCGCCGGCTCTGTGATGTTTGGTCTGCCCACCACGTTAGCCAGCTGTCACTGACCCCTGTTTCTTGCCCGCTGTGGGCTTTTTTTAGCCAGTCTCCGCGGTAAGCAGTCTGTGCTGATGGTGGACGAGCTGCTCTCGGCCTACCCCCACCAGCTGACCTTCTCCGAGGCCGGCATGCGCATCATGATCACCAGCCATTTCTCCCCCCGCACGCGCCTCACCATGGCTTCCCGCATGCTCATCATGGAGGTAAGGGCTTGCCCAATCGGAATGCACACAGTTCCTAATAGCCACACCCACGGCCTCCCGCTATTGGTCACTGTAGGCTATGGTGAATTCAGCCTCACAACAGTGATAATGACCACATCTTACTTTTCATTATGTAGCAGATGCTTTTTCTCCAAAATAGGGGGGCTGAGAGAGCAGGTTCAGTGCCAATGCAACATTTGGGGTTAAGTGGTGGCATCACCTTGTCAGCCAGGCACCATGACCCCGATTTTAACCTGTAGACTCACATATCATCCAAAAATGTATGCATGCACGCATAAATCAATGATGTCATATGAAGAAGCACATTCTGTCAAACATGGGATTTGAACTAACAACCTTCTGATCATGGGCACCGGTCCTAATAGGGAGGCCTAACCCACAGTGCCACACAGTGGACCCATCTTGGCAGTCATGGCAAACAATGACTGTGGTTGGTAGTTAAAACTGAAGTTGAAATTATGTGTGTGTGCGTGCATGCGTGTGTGTGTGTGTTTATGTATTTCTTACATTGCGGGGACCAAATGTCTTCATAGTGTGATGAAGACCTGTTATTTGTATTTTATTTTTATTTTTAGGGGTTAAGTTTGACATTGTTCTGATTACGATTATGCCCATAGAAATGAATGGAGAGTCCCCACAAAGATGTAGATATCTAATCTGTGTCTGTCTGTCTGTGCGTCCCCCAGAGGCAGAGACTGATCAGTGGCAAGTCCTTCAGTAATGGCGACTCTGATGTGGTGGGCAAGGTCCCCGGGAGGCGGAGCTTAGACAACAGGCTGAGTGGGGCGGAGAGCGGTGTCAAAGGCCAACATGGCCGCCACGGCATGGAGGATGGGGAATGCATGGAGCCCGGGACCGACAGCGAGAACGAGGACAATGAAAACGAGGAGGAAGAAGATGAGGATGAAGGACCCTTCGTCCCCTTTCACGTTCCAGGTACCTTTCTTTGCCATGATTTTCAAAATGTTGGAACAACAAATGGCTGAGTTCACACCACACGATTTTAGCCCCGATTTTCTGCTCGCCAACAGTTTTTGGAAATTGGCAACAAAACCCCCAAATCGATTGCTATGTGGGAACAGAGTCGCCAGTGCATCACAGACGCCCGTCGGATATCTAGCAGGCGTCTTCTAGCCTTTCTGGGTACCCACAGGTGCTCGTAACAGTGCCCTCTGTCTCGCCCGTGCAGAGGGGCCCTGCCCCAGGCTGAAGTGGGCTTTGTCGTGGCCCATCAGCCTGCTGCTGTACTTCACCGTGCCCAACTGCGCCGAGCCGCGCTGGGAGCGTTACTTCCTGGCCACGTTCTTCATCTCCACGCTGTGGATCGCTGCCTTCTCCTACGTCATGGTGTGGATGGTGAGGAGCCACCGTCGGCACCCTTAACATTCCTTCATCTAGTTTGTGAGGTAACATGACGTGTTACCTGAAACTTGGCCTACATTAAATGACGTCTGTCTGTCTCAGTGCGTGTGTGTTTGTGTGGGGGGGGTGATTTATATGTCCCCACAATGTGATACAAACCTGTTATTTAGCCCACTTTTTTGGTCTTCATAAGGGGAAACTCTGTAACCACAAATCAAAAAACTAAAAATTCCTAAAGTCTCGTATTTTGTTTGGTTACTTATGCTTATGGTTAGGGCAGGGTAGGGGTTAAGGTCGTCATGGGATTAGAGTTACTCCCATAGAAGAGATGAATGGACAGTCCCCACAAAGACGTGGATACAAATTTGAGTTTTTGTGAGTGTGTGTGTGTGTGTTTGCATGTGTGTGGCTGATTGCCCCCCCCTAGTGATTTTGCAGATTTAAGATGTCCAAACCCATGGCATGTCTATGCCCATATAGCTGATTCTGCCTTTGGGCGGGGGGGGGTTCCTCATACGCTCTTCTGTCATCCCAGGTAACTGTGATTGGATTTACACTGTGGATCCCTGATGTCATCATGGGCATCAGCTTCCTGGCGGCTGGCACCAGCGTGCCCGATTGCATGTCCAGCCTCATTGTGGCGCGACAAGGTACCGTGGCAGCCTGGAGCGGGGGGTTTGTAGGGATGGGCGATGGACATCATGGATGGCTAGGAACCGAGAGAGCAGGAAGTGAAGGCAGCTTGTTTAGTTACCTTTGGGATGCCTGGAGCTCACCCCCTCCCTCTCCTTCCTGGCAGGCCTTGGAGATATGGCCGTCTCCAATTCCATCGGCAGTAACGTCTTCGACATCCTCGTGGGGCTGGGCTTGCCTTGGGCGCTGCAGACGCTGGCTGTCGACTACAACTCCTACGTGAGTGCTCCCACCTCCCAACCGCACAGCAAAACCAACGTTGGGGAATCTCCATTCAGTTATTCACCACAGGACCAAATAGTCGTACCTCCCCGACTCCCAATCGACCAATGAACTCCTAATGTTTATGTAAATATTATGTAAGTATGGGAAAATCAGCATTCTTTTTTTTCTTTCCAGATTCATATAAACAGCAAGGGACTTATCTACTCTGTGGGTCTTCTGCTGGCGTCAGTGTTCCTCACAGTAAGTTTGGCCGAATTCCACTCTAAGACCTTGAAAAGGCAGCCTACAGACTAAACTTTCAACCTAGGTCAAGCTTCAGTCCGCCATGAGCTTCACTACCTTCAGATAGAAATGTTCACCTTCCCCCCTCTCCCGGCTATGTCTGAGCCCAAGGGGGGAGTCGAGATGCCCTGGTGTCCTGTGTTTGTCTGCAGTAACGTGAAGCATTATGAATTTTAGCATTCTTGGCAATGCTCACAGTGTTAGAGCTGTTGCTTGCAGCTCAGTAGTGTCAGCTCAATAGCATTAGCCCAATAGCATTAGCCCAATAGCATTAGCGTTCACAGCGCTAACTGTCAGCAGTAATGTCAGCATTTAGCTACCTGCCGTACACTTTGCAGTCTTCACTACCTTGCCTGCCCCAGATATCATCTCCGTTAGCGCTCTCTTGTCTGTAGGAGTTTTACCAAACTGTGTGCTGTGTGTAGTAGCATTAGCGGCGCAGCTGTCTTGTTTAGTAGTGTTAGCAGTGATTAGCGTTGTGTGGTCCTGCTGATTCTACCCCTAACTTAAGCCTCTCTCTGTGTCCCTCAGGTCCTGGGAGTGCACTTGAACAAATGGACCTTGAACCGGAAGCTGGGGCTGTTCTGCATGCTTCTATACTCCGTCTTCCTATGCGTCTCTATCCTCATTGAGTTTAATGTATTCACTTTCATCAATAAACCCACGTGTCGTGAACTGTGATTCCACCCCCCACCCCACCTTACACATTAATACTGCTGGCCATAGACAGCAGCAGGGAGGGGGTGACTTGTCTCTCTCGCAACCCTTTTCTGTGTCCTTGGTTACGGACCACAGCTCAGCACTCAAAGGTATGTCTTTGAGCGAAGCCACTCAGATAGGACAGAGATCGATATTTTTGATGACTACTGCCTGCTTTAATGTGAAACCAATAATGTTTTTAAATTTTGTATGAGTGAGTAAGATTGAATCATGACTATTTACCACCCCCACCTTTCGCAGTAAGATACATTTTAATGGCTGCTGACTGTCTGTGTCTGAAGCTATAGACTGAAGAGACTCGTCACAACTTTTTGCTTTAACCGTTCTGCGCAGTACTGGGATTTGCCAGAAAAAAAAAATTGGAATAGGAAAGTATGGATCACCTCATGCATATGTAAATATTTGTGGAGGGAAATTTGGACACAGGCTATTTGCACAGAAAGGATCTTCTTGCTGCAGGAAGGACACCCGGTTTCTCCAAGGATACGAGAAGCTCTGTGATTTGTGGCGTTTTCTGCTTTTGTTTGCACCCGTGTGCTGCCGAAAAAACTACTGTTTATTTATTTATTGAAGGTTATTTATGTGCTTTTGTTTGAAGTTGCTCTGCATCCTTGCTCAACCAGACAGCATTAATTGGTCCTTTTTACTTTCTCTGGTCCTTTCAAACTGTCTCCTTTCATTAAATAAACTGGCATTCTTCCTCATTTTATACAGATCAGTGTTGATGAGACAGTTAGCATGTATACATGCACATATGCACAAACACATGGTTGGATACATTCATCTTTACGCAAGACAAAAGCTATGGTGAGGTTTAGGGTTAGGGTTAGGGAGTGACTCATGAGAGTTTTACTTACACGAAAATCAGATTATATAGGAGGTGGATCCAAGCAACTAGAGGAGGCGGGACCAAGACATGATTGGTTGGCCCCACCTCCTATACAATATGATTGGTTATCTGTCTGAATCAATCATTTTTCATTCTGCCCTCAGAACATTTTTGGGTAAATAAAACTCCCATGAGCTTTAAAGTAGTGTTGTTGGCCTTCATATATCTGTTCCATGTTCAGCACAGCCTTGTGACACTGGTTTTGTGTGCACTGACCCCTGCTGGCTGAATGGCAGGATTCCATTTCTGGTCCATTGCAGTTGGCTGGTTGATAGGATCCTTTCTTAAAACACCTCTCCGTGTGAAGACATATAGAGGTATTGTCTCTGACTCCAGGCTCCATGGATCTTCCTGTTTAGCTAAGTGCTAAAGTTAGCACAATAAAAATCTTCAGGCCAATGCATTAGATTGCATCCATCCGTCCTTCCTTCTTCCATTCATCCGTCCTTCCTTCTTCCATCCATCCATTTTCTGTAACCGTTTATCCTATTCAGGGTCATGGGGGGCCTGGAGCGTATCCCGGATGCTATTGGTTGATTCCAGCTTTTGAAAGTATTTTGCGAAACATAAGTCGATATCTTAAAATTATTTTTGCTAGCTGATTCACACTTTAGTAATGCTTTCAGCTGGGCTGGATGTGAGTGTGTGTGCCCTGTGGTGTGTTGCCGACTGCCCACGGTTGGTTCCCGCCTGTGCCCATTGTTCCTGGGATAGGGTCCAGTCCCCCCGCGACCCCTCTTGGGATTCAGCAGTTTCAGAAAATGGATGGATGGATGGATGGATGCCCGTTTGAATGCCAGTTTGCTTTGGCATTCATTTGTTTAGTTTCTGAGTGATCAGCCTAATCAGGAGTAGACTGGTTTTCAGGGTGCCCCAGGTCCAGATAGAAAGGTTTTTTTTTTCCCCAGAAGCATCAAGCTTCAGCCCACACCCATGCATGGACTCATTGTCAGAATCACAAATGGCAGAAACATGATCCACAGTTTTATACGCACTTTTGCTTCATGGCCTCTTCTGAAAAGGCTGCCACATGAACAGCTGGGTTGGGCCACCAAGAGCTTTACCGCCGTCTTCAGAGCTTTACCGCCGTCTTCAGAGCTTTACCGCCGTCTTCAGAGCTTTACCGCCGTCTTCAGAGCTCTCCCCGGTGGCCGCCTGGGCTAGGGTGTCACTAGGGTTCATTATCCGATTTTAAAAAACATTTTAATCATTTTAATATCAGTTTCAGTCAAAGAAACTAGCTTAACATTTTAACATCTACGTATATATATATAACATCTACATATATATATATATATATAACATCTACATATATATATATATAACATCTACACACACACACACATATATATATATGGCTACATGGATATGTGAAGATTTCACACATCAAGGTGCAACAACATAAGTCCCCCAGTACAACGTTCCATTTTGTTTGTTTAGCTAGTTATTTGATGGCTATGTTTTTATCAAATCAACTGTACGGAGTTGTACCGCAATGATTCTATGTAAAGGGGCGTCCATCCCCCGGCTGTTGTTAACAGTCACCTCTGAAATAGCCTTTTGGGCCACTAGCGTTGCCAAGATACTTGAAACATACTGTTACAGAAATCTGTGTGTAGAGAATCAGATTTGACGCTTTTGGAATGTCTCCGTTTTTGGCGGGAGACTCCTTGACTGTTTTGTCTTTCTTGCTGATGTTTTTTCGCTTCCCTTCCGTAATTTGATGCAATTTTAGGTTTTCCAGTTGCTGTTGATGTGGTTTTTCTTTTAAGTTTTTTGTGTTTGTTTTTGTTTTTTTTTTTGGGGGGGGGGATGCTGAAACAAACATGAAAACTAATATTTAAAAGGACATAATACTGTTACCAGGGAAAGTGCTCAGTAACCATGAAGGTTTAATGACTTTTTATTTAAGGCAATAATTATAATATTATATACAAGAAATATATAATATTTTTACAAGTTTTTATAAATATCTTTGCGTGTATATTGTGTAATAAAAAGTAAATTACAGCACACATAATAGCATAATACTGCAGTACATTATTTTTACCACTAGAGGTAGTAATTTTACTACAACGTTGTAGCAACCGGTTAAAAGTGTAAAGATGCTCCGCACACTCCAGTTAATGCACGTGCCCATCTCTGCTTAACTGACCAAACACTTAGACTTTATTTAGTTAGTTTCACCACACCGAGTTTTAATACTAAAAACTGTATTTGGAAAGAGTCTCAATGCTCATTATCAAAAAAGTTATGAAAGCATTAAATCTTTTTGAACTAAACTCATTAACTGAACTACATATATATATAAGTATATTTTATATGAAGACAGTTTTAATTTGACATTTAAGTATGACTGTCATATGGTAGTACTGTATGCATGTATGCATGCATGTGTGTCTATGTGCCTTTGCATTGTATGACTGATGTTTGTCACCAGTTACCATCAGTATCTTGCTTTTTCTAGAGTTCAGGAGTTCTATTTTGTGTTAAAAATATTTTCTTTATTCACAGGGTGTACATAAATGCATAAATATATTTAATATATAAATTTGTTTTAATTTATACATGTTAATTACATATAAAAACATAAATTTGAGCTAGATTCTTGGTCCTCTGCACTATTTCGTTTAGATTTGTTATGGAAATACCTTTAAAAGTCAGAAAAGACATTTGGTTACTAATAGTAAAATTGAACTGTATGAATATACTGTATTTCTGTTACTGCCATAGCCTGGTAATTATATTGTACATTGGACATGGGGTTCTAACATCAATACTTACATTGATTTAGGCCATTGGCAGAGTCCAAGGTCACATGAGGTAGCATAGCAACTATAATATCAGAAAGGTGGGTTCCAGACAGGGCTTCAGTAACTGTCCTGGATGAGGTCAAGAGCTTTTCCCTCAGGCTACTTCTGTGGACTAGATATAAAAGCGTGGAAATGATCATATCTGAATCTCTATGTTTTGGTTTCTACTAAGTGGGGACTGGACGGTGCCCCCTATATTCTTACAGTTGTCTTATAAGTCGTATATCTTTGTATAAGTTGTTTTTCCTGGAGCCGAGCTCATTTTGGGCAAACAGTTGCAAGACGTGTCTAGTTTTGGAACATTTGAGGATTTCTGTCATGAGGAAGATGATGTGTGAATAAATTATATATGAAATTATGTTTATGCCTGCCGTGTTTATTCACAATGAGGAAGGCGACGATTACAAAAACCTTACGGACAAAAGCTGCATGTAGGCTCTCAAGTGATGTTAAGTACTTTCTAGAAGCAGGGATAAGGTAGAGGTACTGTATTCTAGACACTGAGGAGTCGTTCACACCTATTATGTGGGCTACTCTACACAGACATTTATTTATAGGCTATACAAACTCTTAAACGTTAATAAAACATCTAATACTAGGCTTTTGTTTAAAAGTCCAAGACCTGAATGTCGATCTACTTATAAAACTGTGTGAATATTTATTTTGGCACTGTAAGTCTGCCAAAGAGGGACATGCAGTGTACTCCAGTGCTTTCCATCCTGCAGGGTTGCAGGGGCCTGGAGCCTAGACAAGGAATAACCCAGGGCAGGGCACCATCCCATTCCCAGGGCACGCACTCCAATCACACCTCCGCTGGTTCCTACATGTAACCGAATAAAATACTTTAAAACATAAATATCCTTCGTAAATATTATTCAGGCAAGAAAAGGCGTTGAAGGAATGGATCCTCAACCCCGCTCAGAGGGTTTGACCTTCAAGCGCTCCGCCACATAGACGGCACTATGGAATCAACTAGAGATTCTATAATCCAGTCAGTTGAAGTCAAGTCATCTTATTTCTATGGCGTATTTTAAAACAATCAATGGCTGACCGAAGTGCAGCACACAGAATCAATAGCAGGCATAACAGAGATGACCACACCATACCCCATATTCTCTCTCATATACATATATATATATAGAGAGAGAGAGACACACACACACACACACTCCATTTGTACTGTTCTTACGCTTATCATTAATGTTTTACGGAAAGCAGATGAACATACGTGCCGACAGTTTCATGTACTAAATGCTGGAGTTATAGATGCGTTTCTCACGTTCAGTAATGTCATTTACTCGTATACTGCGCTGGGGTTGACAAAATATAGCAGTTTATACGCCATTTCAAAAAATAGAAATTAAAACTATAGAATACTTCTTAGCTAGATGACAACCATAAATTATATAATGGTAATATTTTTTTTTTAAAAACGGTCCTTATATTAAAAGGGTGTTAGATATAACAAAGAAACCGTAAGAACTGTGATGAGGTTCACCAAAAATTTACAAACACTTTCGATCGAAAAGTTATGAATTACATTGTTTTACGATAAATTTCTGGAAAACACGTCGTCAAATGTGCTTTATTTTAGATGTAAACAGGTCGACCCGTATTTGAAATCTGTCTATTCGAGTTATTTCGTACACGGAAACATTGACTTTAGTACGTTTGTGTGCGAAGAGACAATATCATAGCGGCGAGAGTCGAAAAGAAACAAAGAAGCAGAAATCTTTACATTATATATTTTTAATTTGCGCTAGATCTCGTCTAACTTTCCCACTTGTCAAAAACAGACAACCTGAAGTCAGGCAAAAAAGAAAGAAAATCATGGGAATTGTAGTTAATGTACGACTTACAACGTTATTGTAACGTTGTCGTGACGTTGTAGAAACGTGGTATCGTGCGCAAGCAGGAGATGGTTTGATCGCTACTTCCGCTTATTTTCCTCCCCAGTCTGTTTACATCAGTTTGTTAAGGTGCCTTTTTATGCTGTTTTAATAGATCCCTCTTTTTGAAAACCGAATGGCTCAAAACAATGGAAGCGGCGCCCATTGGTCAATACAGCGACGCGTGGAGGGTTTGGTGAACAAACACATGGCAGACATGGCACTCGAAACACTACAGCACAGGCTTTCTGTCGTGTCAGAAGAGATGAACCATCTGTCAGAAGAAGCGCAGAGGCGCCCTGAGGAGGACCCATCGCGACATGCAGAGGACCCATCGCGACATGCAGACATGAACTTTGACGTGGAGTCACAGTCGGAGGCGTATAGCAGCGGGGGCTCAGAGGGAAAGTTACCGCAAATAGCGGCATCCTCAGGTAAACATACACCGCTTGGAATGAAGATTGTTAACTTCAGCATTGCTGAATCGTGATCTCGCTGTATTTTGAGCGGAAAAAGTACAATATAGTTCATATACTCCAGTGTTTATTGATATACGTGTCTTTCACATGCATGGTGATGTGCAAATTAAAAGTTTATATCTAACTCATTTCACAGTAAACTGTGTCTATACGGTTATTTTTTTCTCCTGAGAACAGAACCCAAGCAAAGCTATGATCTGTGCTTGTTGTTATGTTGAAGACAGTTAAAAGAGTATAAAATATCAAGGATACGTGCAGATTTTCTGTCGCTTTTGGACATATCTTTTCATTCCAGTTTTATCAGGCCACTAATTCATTCTGCTCTTCCATTTCATAGAGACAGCAGCTCAAAGAAAAATCATATCGCTTTTGATTGAGATTAAAGAGGAGCAGAAAAAGCAGTGGGTGATTTTAAAGGAACTGCAGGCTAGGATGCAGGGACCCGTGTGTGACGATGATGACGAGACGTTGGAGGTAGATCTTCCACTGAGGTCGATGGAACAGCTTGACGAGACAGAGAGGTATCTGGAGGATGCAGTAGCACAGAGAAAACTGGTAACTGTTCTTATAATTTTATTTGCTGATTCTTGTGAGTATTCTCCTGGTGGGAGTTTTATTTACACCAAATTGTTCAGAGTGCAGAATGAAAAATGATTGTTTCAGAGAGATAACCAATCGGATTGTAGAGGAGGTGGGTCCAAGCAAGTAGAGGAAGCGACCACGACATCTGATTCGTTGGACCCACCTCCTCTACAACCTTATTGGTTATCTCTCTGAACCAATCATTTTTGTTCTGCCCTCTCGTGAGTGTGTATTCTTGATTGTACATAATGACTTTGGTTCTTGTCACTGCATGTAGCTTTGTGTCTTGATTTATTGAGATGTCACTTGAATTCTCAGGTGACGCACCTGTCGCGGATGGGCGGGGCCACAGTAGACGACGCCATCCGACGTCTGATGCAGGCTGTGCTCTCCTTCGGAGTCGGCTCTGAGATGAACTGGGCGGGCCGTGGGGAGAAAAGAAGCTTCCGGAATACTAGGCTTCAGGGTGTACTTTTTCGTAAGACATCTTTTGTTTTTGTCTGTGTGCATGCATACATTTTTGGGTGATGTGTGGCTCTGCGGATTCGTATTGGAGTTAGGGTGTTCCTGACCAGAAGGTTGCTGGTTCAGATTTAATGGCTGGCAGAGTGATGTCATCATGGAGCCCTTGGGCAACCCAAATTACTCCAGGGGCACCGGACGTTGGCTGACCCTTCACTGTCACCCCCAAATTTTCTTTCATCTGTATATGTGACTGTGAGTCTAATGGGGACCAATATGGCATAGGCAGAAAGACAATCCTTCCATTCCTCATCCACCTATTTATCTTTGACAGGGATAGGCTGGGGTCGGGGGGTGACTGGGTCCTATCCCCGGCAGTAAAGGGCACTAGGCAGTAGGCCGGGGTACACGCTAGATAAAATGCCACTTCGTCTTCGGAAACATATACTCACACACAGTCATAAACTATGGGCAGTTTCGAGATGTCAGGTAGATAGTTCACATCCAGAAAGGAAGAATCCTGACCAAGGTTTTGTTTCAACCAACCAGTTGAGTACTTTGTGACTGTGACTGTTTATGCTAAACTGGCTGGTTGAAACTAAACCTTGGTCTGGATTTTTACTTTTCTGCACCTGAACTATCCACCTCTGCCTAACTGCATATTCGTATACCACAGCACCCAGAGGAAATCCGTTCGACTCAGGAAGAGCATCCAAACTTCAGACACAGTGTAATGGTGGATTTTACGAGATTTTATGACATCTGAATCAGAAAACTTGTATTATCCCAGAGGAAATTGTTATTATAGCCTACACAGAACACAGCTGCACAAAAAGACATAAACAGACAATATGCACTGCCAAATACAGCAGATTCTGTATAAAGATGAAGATGTAGAGTTGGCAATAAATAGATGGGTGAATATGATGATAAGTAAAGTAAATACTGCACTAGATAGATAAATAGATACATTTATAAAAATAGAGATTATTGCACAGTAACATTACTACTTATCCCTGTAACCCTGACTAGGATAAGCACTCAGATGATGGATGGATGGATGGATGAATAATGACTTGTGCGCATATGTTTTAATAAGCCCATGCTCTTACCATGGAGAGTACATGATTGTGATCTGTTCTGTCAAAATGTTCAGAGTTTAATCAACAATTAATGGCATGGTGCTCAGGGGTAAGACAGCATTCCCTCGAGAATTCTATGGACTTGTACTTCCAGTACTGGCTGTAAACAAACGTTCAGGCCCCTCCCTGCCTTTCCAGGGGCTCTGAAGAAGACGCCAGTTGGGAAGGACGCCACGCAGCACCAGTTCGCAGACGTTGTAAAAAAATGGCTCCGGTTCGCCCCCTTCAGGCAGGGGGGGAGTGGACGGCGCCAACATTACAAGCCCACAGTGGAGTTCATCTGTACTGAGGGAACCCTGTGATTCACCTGCAGAGGGAGACCATTTATTTTAATCCTTTGTTTGTGTTTGAATTTCGTCACTGTGAAAGTAAATATAACTTGTCACTTTAAATTTAGTCGCACTACATTATTTCAAATGGTGGAAAAACGTGCTTTCTGAGCATAAACATTTCTTACATTTTTTTTTTCCTTACTCATATTAATCTGTGCTGTTGTTTATTAAAATTCTGAAACCAAAGTCTCGTTACGGGGCAACTGTTTGTATTGAATGTCCATTATTACCATTAAAAAAGACTGACTGGTTGAAATCAATGAGAAGTGTTACATGGACTGGGATTGGCAGCAGAAGGCAGTCTCACCTAGCATAGGTGTCAGAGCTTTGAACCCACACTCTTCTGGTATGATGACATGATGCTACTTGCCACAGTACTCTCATTATTCAAAGGCCGTGTTTCCCAATCCGGGTCTCGGGGACTCACAGACAGTCCTCGTTTTTGCTCCCACCCATCTGGGAGCTCAGAGGGAGCAAAAATGTGGAATGACTGTGGGTCCCCAAGGACCGGATTGGCAAACACTGTTCTAAAGTACTTGTAGCTCTTATTCACAAAGGCTTAAAGATTCGCATACCGAGTTTCAAACACAAAATGATTTACAGCGATGCATGAAAGAACATCCCTAATACATTTGCATAAATCTACTTAAAACTATAATGTGAAATTTACAATGTAATTGAAGCCATAATCCAATGCATTGTATCATGTAATTAGGTCATCTTTTTGATAGTATAGATAAGTTATATAACTGTAAAATGACATGGTAATTTGTGCAGACTGCACGTCTTAGCATATTTGTGAAGCATGATTAATTCCGTTCTAAAGCATTTTCTGTATTCAGTACAAAATGTCAAAAAGTAGCTTTGTTTCTCCTGTACTTTGATGGATTTTGATTAAATTGTAGATGAATGGTGCAGCCAGCAGTTTCCCAAATGCTTATCCAGTAAATCTGCAGTTATTTCTTCGTTGTTATTTTTAGTGTTGAATCCCCATTGTTATTAAGTGAAATACTTTGATAGCTCCCGGTGTGTTAACTAAAGACACTAAAGGCAGTTCATTTGAATACATACATGGGAAGTACAACTGAGTTGCATAATGTCACATTGTAGCAAGACTCATGGTGCAGGACTTTGTGTTATCTGATTACAAAAACAACCGAAATGAACAGATCTTTCTTTGAGAAACCTTGGAAAAGGCTACTTTATTTCAGAAATACGATTATTCCATCCATCCATCTACCAATGGCTTATCCTGGACAAGGTTGTGAGGGCCTGGAGCCTATACCAGGCAGCACGGAGCAGAGGGCTGGGAGCACCCTGTATCAGATGCCAGTCTATCGCTGGGCACATGATCACACACATCTCATTATGCACTATGGACAAGTTACAGTCAGTGTAACTGCCTGTCTTTGTAAGGCAGAATGAAGCCAGAGTAACTACAGAACCTAGACTACATGGGGAGATTATGCAAACTCCACACACACACAAGATCGCACATTTCAGACACAATTATATAATTATATGTTGTAAACAGCGTCCTCAATATGAAAAGTCGCATTTGGATCACCCAGCAATACTAAAACGATCGAACTGTATTATTAAGCCAAATAATATTGAAGGCTACACTACGTGATTTTATTTTTTATATGAAAAATAAGATTAGGACAGACTTGTCAATATAGGGTATTCATACCTGTACCGGTAACACTGGAAAAAGACAGAGAACGTATTACACAACGACACGTCGTGAGAGAGGAAATCGCACATCCAACGCAGCTCGTATTCACTCCGAGGAATTCCAGTAGCTGACACGTGACCTGAGTGTCAATGCGAGATTTACTTCTTATTCCCTGCGGTTTGTTGTGGCCACTGCCCGGGGACATCGGCGGCCGCTGAAGGATACATTTTACAGCATTACACTTTAAAAAGTCTTAATTGCTCATGTACGCATCATTGTAGCATTTAAGCACGGAAAACTGCGGAGGATCTACGCTGAAAGCCAGGTCGGTTCCCATTGCTCTCGTCGTACTCGTTACACTTTTCCTTGCCAGACAAACCACAAGATACTGTGGTCTTCGCAAAGTGACATTATTTTGGATCTTTTTAAAAATGTCTAGGCGCAATGAACTAGTTTTACTAAACGTTTGCTGATTTTGGATTGCTGCTTTCAATGATGCTTAGTAAATGGACCTGTTAACCAGCACGCTTTGACAGCGCCTTAACTTTCACGTACTATTTGTATATTTTGTTTTTGGTTTGGCATTTTAGTGTGTATGATATTTCATGCTATCCTTTCGTTTATAAATGTCATATTTGCGTCAAGAAAGAAAACATTTCAGCAGTTGTAAATTTTCGGCGAGCATTTTAACATGTAGTAATTGGTATCTAACATTTAATGTCGTGAATTATTTTAAACCGCTAGGCGGCCGCAGTGAGTTGGTCGTACTAGTAATAGAGGCTTAGTTCCTTTTATTATCCATTTTTTAAAATAAGATGCCTGATATTATTATTATCATCATTATTATTATTAATAGTGAACAGCGAATAATATATTTCATAGTATTTGCATAATTTACATCGCGTTATTATGAGTAGTATTGGAAATATAGTCGTTGTATATCACAATAATTGTCAAAATATTTTGAAGTAAATTAGACGTTAATTTTGAGTTTTTTGCCGTGACAATGGAGAATCATAGATACCAGTCATGTGCCAAGTGTAGAGTATCCTTAATAATCTAGGTTATAATTAGGGGCCTAGTTTTACATGAAATTAAACCTTTCTGGGGTTATATGAGGATAGGAGCAGTATTTCCGGAAAGGTCAGTAATCAGGTTCATTATTCTAATTATGTCATGTGGAATCTACCAACTGTTACTGGACATCACGTAATCAGCTGACTACAATTCAACTATACAAAACAAAATTTTAATAAGTGGCTTAATCCACCACACATAATAATTATGTATGTCAGATATATCTTCAGTCATTTGCCTTTGACAGACATGGCCTGTAAACATGATACTGACAAAGAAACACATACATTAATAACAAGATAACCAAGCGAATCTAAAAATGCGAAAATGATCATCTGAAAATCCCTTAAGCTTTATTTTAGTGATGGAAAGTTACAGTGTTTTGCCTGTTTTTATCATTGTACGTTTCCTGGTATGGAGGTATCAGCCTCTGACAGTGGTATGTTAGGAGCGAGGACTGGAAATCTATTTCTGCCCTAGACCTACCAGTTGAACAAGCTGGCAGAGGCAATAACAGAAACTCTGAAGGGTTTTCGGGAATCATGTCTTCCTCGTTCTGCATTCAATGAGGTCACTTGGTGTCTGACACTTTTTGAGCGAATGGCTTTTGGTCGGTGATACTGCGGTCCGCAGTGAGAACATGATTGTGACATAGTACAGGTTCACTGGGATGCGGTCATCTTGCTGCATGGGGATCTTCTGGGTTGGTCTGGAATCTCCCACCTGGCTCTTATTTATAAAACATTTCCTGCATGGTTATGGTTTTGTGTTTTTACACCAAGCAGTAAGACATTAACTTTATAAATTCTCTGTTCTATTCACTTTTCAGCTTTTTGCAACAGGTTTCTGAATTAGTGAAATGTTTTTTTGTAATCTTGGAGTCTTGGAAGGTCCCTTCGCCTGTGGATTGCTGAACTTAGCACTACTGAATAGGCAGTTGCCCCCAATGGTCTCGTCCCACTTCCAGCTTTGGCCCGTTGATCACGGGCCAGTCCATTTCTGACTGGAGGGGCGCAAAGCAGTAGAGCAGACCCCCCTGATGCATGTAGGGAGTCAAGGAGCCATCTCATTGACGCTAAGAGCAAAGACCATCAAAGATGCAAGAACCCACAATCTACCCAGTCATAAAAAGCAGAGCAACTTAAGGTCATGAAGTGTTTGGGTCTTGTTCCTCAGAGAAGATCTATATCCAGCATTCCTGTTCTCAAGCTACTTCCTTTAGCAGCTCACTTGGCCTTCCGGTTCTCCAACCTGCTGGTGGCAGCGCTTCAAGCGCCAGATGGGAGATGTTGAGTGTTTCTGCTCCTTTCTTCAGCCAGTAGTTTCCAAGGTTCCACACCAAAGGTGCTGTAGAAAAGCAGCTGTTTCTGCTGTGGTATTTCACGAAGTTGTAGTGTGGTTAGTTAACCTCTTTAGTGGCCAAAATTAGAAAGCTGATGACAGGCTGGTGAGATCTGATAAGCAAGTATTTTTAGCTATGAACTACAACAGTTTTTCATTCCTCATTTAACAAGAATACAAAGGCTTGTCTTTGAGGACTGAACTAAACGTTGCCTGGCAAGATTAATATCATTTAGGTGTTTGTGCATGTCAGATTTGTTTATTTGTGTTTTGAACACTATTACCACACTCTTCTTTGGGTACATACAGTTTCCTCCTGGAGTCGAAAAACAAAATTGTCTCTCAGTGTGTGATGTCAGTAACCATATGAAAGGGTGCTCCTCAATATGTCTACTTGACCATACTTGTGTTCTCATGTACCCATTTGACAACATCTTCCATCACTGAAGACCAGTTCCAGTACTCAAGAGCAGAAGTACAGAGGACGGTAAAAACCGCTGGTTGTCGTTCTTTCCCCAAAAATCACATTGGCTGCAAATATCACATTGGCTGCATCCTTGCCAAACAAGACCAATCCCATGATTCACTGCACCACAAGTTTGTTCTTGGGAGGCAATTTAGCAAGACCAGTCTTGCCATGATCACCGGTATGTTCTTTGGTATTGAGAAACACCCAAAAGTGTCTGAGCCCAAAAACCAACCAAGGTCTGCAATGTTGCAGAGCTAAATCCATGAAGCTTTGCCATGACTGTGCGATGGCTCCCACGGTTACATCGCTTTGACAAGTTCTGTGACTAATTGTGACTAATCCAAAAGCACGACTAAACATGTTGAGGTAGCTCTTGTCATTGAATTAGCTGAATTGGATCAAATGTGGCTTTGATCAGGTAACATATGCAAAGTGGTCTTCATCCCATAAAGCAAGCATGCAACATCTTGGCAAAGACCATCACAGGTGTGAAAAAGCAGCTAGATCAAGGCAACAATGGAAAGACAGACTCATTGCTCAATTATTTAAACAGGGTGAAAAATTAACCCAAATCTGTGTATTTTTATTACCAGGTTAAATCTGTCTCCGGCCCAGCCGTACTAGCCCATGCAAAAATTATTTCTTGGATTTTTCCTTGTTTCTTAAAAGCAAAGGAGAGTTTCTGGCCCCAAAAATCACCTCCACTGATGTAAGATACTGGGTGACAGGGTATCCTCAGATAGGTGTGCCCGTGCCTTCAGACTTTACTTATCCTCAGATAGACGTGCCCGTGCCTTGAGACTTTACTAAGTACATTTCCATTCAACACACCAGGGATCAGAAGCTCAGGGGTCAGCCTCAGCAAACGCATGCCATTACTCTTCCCCTGAGGAAGCAGTTTTTAACACACTATGCATCAGTTTATAAACTGGATGCCTCTTAAAGGAAACTCAACTCAACTAAACTCAACATTTCTGAGACTGGGGCTGTCTCTATCTGCTTAGTTATCAGTTGACTATATGAATGCTCTGAGACAAGCTCATTGTAATGGGCTGGTGTGAGGTTCCTGTGAGCTGTGGCTGACGTTAGTTTGCCAGTTCCTGCGTCTGTGTTCCCTTGTCTGAAATCGGGTTGATCTCTGATTTTTCTATGTGACGCTGATTTACAACAAGCAACAGCTTGCAATGCTGATGCATTAATGTGGGTAGGCTTTCCTGTCTACACTTCATGTGGAATCTCTATTACTGGGAAAATAAAAGCCAATTAGAACCCAGCATAGTATAATAGCTGTATAGGACTATTGAGCTGAATGTTGAACATGACTATTATTTGAATCCAATAACAGAAATTAGTATGTTAAGAAATACTGAACCAGAACTGATTGGGCTGATTGTTGATGAAACCATTGTCTGTGGAGTTCTGGCACTATGACAACACCCATTAGTGCTCTAGTACTGCTCAGCTGTAACTTCAATGCTGCACGGCATCTACAGTACACAGTAGGGTTGTTAAACGCTGAAAGAACATACAATATACACAAAACAGAACCTCAGTTGTTTTCTGCTTTCTGCTAACATATCACCAGAGAGGCTGACTATCTAATTGTGAGAGTAAACGACTGGGCTCATTTAGCTTGGGGCACAATGGTCACGCACGAGCTACGCCAGGGTGAGAATGTACCTTCTCTGGGGTATTTTTCTCTCAACAATTTAACAGAACTGCAGAGCCATAATATACATGCGAATCCCACTGCAGCTAAAGGGAAGGGCATTCTCTGTGTGAGACGTGCATCCCCAAAGCCGGAGAGGAACGCTGACGTAACAGGGACCTGATGCTGCGTCTAATGCTGCAGTGAGCTATCTCATCAGGAACTACAGGGACCGCCATGCTTCTGTGGTTGCCATGGTGATGAGGGGGGAGACATTTTTCTTCTGGCATCTCATCCTTCTTCACAGCTCTATATTTTGCAGGACCAGCAAGCAGGCCTTGAAGACTACATCCAGGTCTGTTATTAGCACCCTTGATTAGCACAGCAAAAGCAAACAAAAGAAATCTTTAATCTATTAATAATTTAATGGCAGTCCCTGAAATTGTTTAGTATTAGCACATTAAATTTAAACATTAGCATAGTTGTTAGGACAATTAATAGGGCCCTTGAATGACAGAGATGACAAATTTATATTTACATTCATAACTATATTGGTCTTCATTGGGAGCTGAATATAATTTGCTCTCATGGGGCCCAAAGTCAGTCAGCACCCCCCAGGACTGGATTGAGATAAAAAATCGGCCCTGTATTATAGGGTCCCCCACAGTAAATTTGGCTGATCACAGGGGTGTGCGATTTAGCAACATTAGATCGTCAGGGATTCCCTTCCAGTCTCAGTCTCTTTCCTCCTGATAACAGCTCGGTTGAATTGCATTCAACTCACTCGCACTCGGGTAGCCCAAGCTCTGAAATCCGCATCTGATTGGTGAGGTTCCTGTCATTAAGTGAATTTCTGCATTTAGTTTTAGTCCAGTGTTCAGCGCTGGATCCATGTTCACATGGCTGTCTTGGAAATCATATGATATGGCCGTCGGCTGTTCCTCCATTTTGCTGAATACACTGCATTGTCCATTCGGCCCAATGAAGGCTCTGCAGATTGAAGCTTATGAACCACTGGAGACCATGACTTGCTTGCTGTGTGTTTACAGCAAGTCTTCAAGTTTGTTTATGCCACAGAGACAAATATTCTTAGGTTGACAGCAACAGAAGATCGATTGTATCAGTATACAATCAGGTTTGTCGATCGGGGACTGAATGTACTGTATCTGATCATCGGAGTCTGGCTTTGACTTTGACTGTTGCAGTTAAAAATTCTGTCTTAAAACTGCCATCAAGAAACATACACCCTATGTACACAACATAAATATCTTTCTTATAATAAGTTGCTGCTGTTTCATTTCCTCATATGTAGTTTGCATGCAGTAGTTGGATTGGCCCCCTGCAAGTATTGTGCGGTTTAAATTGGATTAGACAGCAGAAACACATAGTAGATTCCCTGTTTTTAAATGTGCGTGTTGTTTTTCCAGCTGAATGCACTGATTGACAGAGGACAAGGCATAAATTTTATCCTCCTTAGGATTCCAGCGCAAATCTGTGGAGAAACGATGTATTCATTTGTGCCGCATCCAGATGTCTAGGCTCGGGGAGTGTGTTCGTGGGTAGCTTGCGTTAGCGTTGCTTTGTGCGGTTAGCATCCAGGGGATTAAAGCCAGTGGGATTAGCTTCTTTGCAGTTAGCATGGCCTTTCTTCACCCTGTATTCCTGAGGTTGTTGCAATCAGGCATTTGGTGCAAGCTGTGTTTGGTGACAGCATTAGAATAATGACCAGCTGTGCTCGTGAATTGTCACAGTTCCCGTGCAGCCTGGCACACTAACTGAGTGCCATCGTGTTGCCGTGTTTGTTCTGCGTGTTCTAGCCAGGAAGGGGGCAATCACTCAATTTCTGGGCAGTATATCAGCCAGGGACTCCCTGTGACATAAGAAACTGCGACGTTTTGTATTTCTTCCCCAGCTAAACTTGTTTATTTTTGTTGGCTGGTGCAGTGATTATCGCTGTAACTGCACACATCCAGTTGATCTCTGATCTCGTCTGTGTAGATGTTTAATTATGCATGACATACATATGTGCCAGTTTGATTCCCGCTCACCAGCTCTGTGATTATGAAATTTGCATATTCTCCTCATGTGCCGACATGTTCCATTTTGGTGTGATTAAAATAAATTGATGTCTCTTAAAGTGTAATTAGCCTGTGTGTGTGTGTGCGCGCGTGCATGTGTGCGTTTGTATATTTTACATTGTGGAGACCAAATGTCCCCATAATGTAATAAAAACCTGATACTTTTTACTTTATGGGGACAGTTTTCTGAAAAGTTTTATTAAAGTCTGTGATTGCAATCAAAGAACCAAAGAACTAAAATAGGCAGAAATCTTGTATTTTGTTTGGTTAGCTATGGTTTAGGTTAGGGCTGGATAGGGTTAGGGTAGGGGTCTCCAACTCCGGTCCTGGAGAGCTACCGTCCAGTAGGTTTTCTATGATTCCCGGCTTCTGATGAGCCACACCTGTTCTCAGGTAAATACCAGGAGCAGGTGTGGCTCATCAGAAGCCAAGTGGGATAGAAAACCTACTGGATAGTAGCTCTCCAGGCCTGGAGTTGGAGGCCCCTGGGTTAGGGTTATCATAATCCGGATTAGGGTTTTGCCCATTCAAATAAATGAGAGTCTCTGCAAAGATATCTAATCTTTACATGAGAGTGCGCGCGCGCACGTGTGTGTGTGTGTGTGTAGCCTTCAATACAGTAGCATCTCATCCAACATGCCCGCTGCCCTGAGTCCAGTACTTTGTGGCCTGTGACTGGAGAAGTGCTTGGAAGATGGATGGATATTTCTATATGCATAACAGCCGTGACTTCAGTGTGGCACATGGAAAGTGTGTCGTGTTGTGCTGGCTCACATTATGGATGTTATGGGGAGATTGCTAGGTGCTGGGACTGCACACAAGGAGCATCTGTGTCGTCTCTCCTGTACCGACTTGAACAGCCATGCTGTGGCCCGGGAGCCACCCACCACGGCGTGGGCTAAATAGGATAACAAGTGTAGATAGTATAGTAGTGGAAATATGTTCTGCGATATGCATTTGGCTGTACTGATTATACTGGTAGAGGCTGCATTTTGATGTTTATATGCATTTCTCCAGCAGCACTGTCACAAAAGGGGTTCACCTGTAACCAGGTAGAAATGCAAAAGGAAAACGAGGAGCAGAGCTGTCCTGGAGAGTCCAACATAATGGACAGAAGAGGAAGCTTCTTCAAGGTGGGAGCGTCTGCTCATCCATCTGTCTGCTTGTTTATTACCCTGTCTGTCTGCCTGATTGTTTCACCATTTGTCTGACTGTCTGCCTGATTATTACCCTGTCTGTCTGCCTGATTGTTTCACCATTTGTCTGACTGTCTGCCTGATTATTACCCTGTCTGTCTGCCTGATTGTTTCACCATTTATCTGGCTGTCTGTATGCCTCTCTGAGCATTCATTGGAAGCTTAGCCTAGCTGCCGTTGTGCCTAATTGACTCCTTGACAACATGTATGTTTGCAATGTGCTATTTGCCTCACTAGTAACTCGCATAGGACAAAAGCATCTGCTAAATATGTGAAATATGAAATGTATATGTAGTAATATGTGCCCCATATCTGTTTCCTTGTCTGCCTGTTTTTACCTGCTTTTCTTATTTGCTTGTCTGCATCTCTGTTTGCCTGTATGTCTCTTTATATCGTCACACAGACCGTGTTCATTTCCATGATCTCAGTAGGAGCGTGTATAAATAATTGTCATCATCATCGAGAAACGCTGCTTGCCAGCCCGTCTCCACCTCCTCCCATCTTCACCCAGTCTTTGCCACTCAAATTTTCTCAACTCTAGCTCTTAATCCTGAACACAGAGGTGTCGTTTGATTACTCGGTGTTAATGAGAACCTTTGGGACGTCAAATTCGGTGTCATTGAAGCGAAGGCTTGGGCTCCAACTTGTTCGCTTCAATCTTGCCGAAGGTTATGTGAGAGGAGAGAGTGTGTTTGATCTCCTGTACTGTTCCATGTGCCTCATGAGAACCGCCCCCGGCACTTAGGACTTACTGGTATAACCGGTATAGATTGTCTACTGGTAGAAATATGCTACAGTATATCCTTGGCAATACTTTTTATACCAGTAGAGACTAGATTTGGGGTATCAAATAACGAGCACTGCTTCACTCACCCTGTAACGCCAGTGTTGATAGTGACTTTACAGTACTCAATAACAAAAGGCCAAGCTAGGGCCTCAAACCTGCGAGAAGCCCCATCGGACAGGGTGATCCTCAGTGTTGGAGGGTAGAGTAGCACAGACTTAACATCTCCGATGGACGGCAGCCGTCCTTTGATGATACCAAAGGCAGCTCTTTTCTTTGGTGTGAGGGATGTAGACTCCATCGTTATAGAGAAGGCTGGGCTTCCATGATACATGTAAGAAGTGCAATCTGGCGACGAGGCCGGTGGTTCTCCTGTCTTAGACCTTCAATTCAGGGATTTATGGGCCTGGTCTAGCAGGGGACTCTCCTCAACATGGAGGAGATCTTTCAGAACCTGAACGGAAGGGAAATACTTGAGTGTTTCACTCAAGGGTTTCACCTTGGCACTGGTTAAACTTTAATTATGCTTAATCATGACATACAATTTCTGGTATTGCTTTGTCTTATTCAGCTGTTCAAATTAGCACAGTACAGTCTAGGATCTAAGTGAATTTGAGTTTAATTTAATTACATTCCAAGCATTTTGGATCTGTCTGTATTAAATCTGTGATGTATTAGCTTATGTGCAAAGAACTTCTATGAAGGTTCAAATACAAACATTCGCTATGAAATGAATTATGCGGGTAATTGTTCACAAAATTAGAGTTAAGTGGCTTCTGTCGTGCAGGTTTAGGTCCTTGTATAGAACATGCTATTTGGTTATTTACGGTAGAGGTAAGTATCTTTTCTTGTGTGTGGATGGGGAAGCGGGAATTTGCCACTGCTGAGCTGAGCTGAGCTTGATTCCCACCAGCTTATCATTGTCAAACCTGCCGCACGGGACTCCGGACTGAAAATGATTGAGCAACTGATAAAGCGCTGACTCATTATCCAGGGAGAAATGTGTCAGTATGTCCTGCCTTGAACCTGGGATGCATTTTTTTAAATGGAAGTATTCTGATAGAAGGTCAAGACCAAGATGATGCAGAACTGAGGAAAGACAGGAAGGAAGCCATTGCTTAGTACCTAAACAAGTACTCTGATCCTGGCCCAGGGGTGGACCATGAGCTTCTGCTGACGGAGAGACAGCAGCGGAGGAGTTACCAGAGGAGCCATGATTGAGAAAAGAAAAGTTATATAGTGATATATATTATTGAGGTCCAAATTTGAAAGTATAGCATGGTGTATTGTGATTTTAAGCCATATCGCCCAGCTTTAGTGGTCCAGTGTGAAGACGTCCATTATTCCTCTTGCTGAGGTTTGTGTTGAGCTGTTGGTTGTCTTGGATAAGGGGATAGAAGCCTCTGCTGCCTCAAGGGCGGAAAAGAGCTGATCTTTGCTCGATCTGTTTGTCCACATTGACATTTATAGTAGATTTTAACCAGCTATTTGCAGCTGAAATTTAGAATACCAGCAACTGCCCCCCCCCCCCTCATGCATTTCTTAAGTCTTACGGGCTGGATGGAGTGATAACGTGATGGCGCCATCTTGTGGGCTTTAAGAGGAATGTACACAGGAACTGAGAAGTTGCGCGTTTTCTTTCCCGTTATTTTCTAATATGATCTATCTCGAGTTGTTCGTTGAATGCGTAACGTAATGGAGATTTGTGGTCATTTTTGGAATTCTTAAATATGTGTCCCATATAAAATATATTTTTGTCTGTGAAAAGTTGGGATGTTTCGAAAAGTCCCCTTAAGTGATTTGTGTTCATTGTTGTTTTTATTATTGTTAATGATTTTCATTTGCCATATTTTCCTGTCCATTGCTGTGGGTTTGCTTCCTGGCTCTATGACAATGTGCAATTAGATTTCCACCAGGTACTCTTCGTCCAAAAATGTGTGTCTTTAGTGAATTGGTTTCTCTGCATTGTGTGTCCATAAATCGTCCATATTATGAGCTGGAGTGTTTGCTCTGTCAAAGTATGGCAACCTGTATTACCTGTATAACCTTATTTATTTTCATGGCGTTCACATTGGTTTGATTTCTGGTCTCCGATCCAACAGCTGATTCACACCTTCGCCTCGGAAATCGGAGAGCTGAACAGCGAGATGGCACTGGCGGACAGAGAGCCCTCCGAAGGGGTCCTGCAGTGGTGAGTCGAAATTCGGAGGCTGTTTTCCAGGATTGCCAACTTCGGTCAACTGGCTGGAGTGATATTTTCAATTCGAGACAAATCTGCACACACATACGCACGCATTTACATGTACTTAACAGTTTTTATTGCCTTGGAAAACGTCTGTAGGCTTTGCAAACTACCCCAACGCTTTTGATGTAGCTAATTTTCGGTTTATAATGGAATAATACAGATTTGCGTGAGCGTGAGAGGCTGAAAGCCTGAGTGTGACGTAGGATGCGTGAGAGTTGGCACCCCCGTTTTTTACATGGTCAGTTCTTCTCCATGGTGTATTGTACAGCCTGTCCAGCAGAGGGAGACAGATTACACTACTTTGTCAATTAAATGTTTTCTCTGTTCTCGTCTGTGTAGATTTTTTAATTATACATGAACATATACTCATCTGCGGTTTTGTTGCTCTGTATCTGTGTGTGTGTGTTAGCTTAGCCCACAGCCTAGTCTGCAGCTGTGCAAACCCCACTTGTGTATGTCTGCAGGCTGGAGGGACAGATGACTGGTGTCTACATGCAGTCCCCCACCTTTGCAGACCCGACCACGCCCAGGGATTCTGGCTACGACTCCCTGCGGAGACACATGAGCGTCTTGGATAGGCTGAAGCAGACGCACTCAGTGTGGCTGCTTCTGGGCCTCGGTGACGAGGAGGCCGTCCGCATCCTGCAGTCGCAGCCTCCTGGGGTGAGCGCAGCACACGTGGTCTGTGACTGCAGTTACATATTATGTGCAAAGTACATATTATTTCCTCCTCTGGGTCTGCCGCAGAGGTCAGCGGTGGAATGCTGTACTCTGGCAAGACTGCATTTTGTTTCCATAGCGACCATGCCAGCTTGCCAAAGGTTTGTCTATCACAGGAGCAGAATGTCACGATAGTTCCTGATCCCGCTGTGCCTTCATTTAATTCGCATTCCCATAACTGCTTGTACTTCCTCGAGACTTTCTAGCACTGACTCCCAGTCAGTCGGCCCGACTTGCGTGCGCTTTAAGCCCTGAGCTGAAGTGAGCGTGAGGTGGGCATGACTGGAAGCAATTAATCTGTGTTCTCGTCGGCTGGTCAGGTTTTCCTGGTGAGGAAATCGGCGAAGCTGAAGAGGAAGGTGATCTCCCTGCGCATGGACAGCTTTTCGGATGCCGTCGTCCGGGACTTCCCCGTGAAGGAGACCCAGTACAGTGAGTTTATTTATTTATTCCACTGGCCTTGCAGCTTGGCCAGCCATGTGGACACGTGCCGTCATCACGGGGCTGTTTGTCGCTAAGTCTTAGCTGAGCTCTTCCCATTTTTGAAGTGAATTCTTCTTGACAGTCAACAAAGGTGAATAAAAACAAGGGGCCTGGCTCAAAATCCCCCCCCCCTCCCAAACACACTCTCACACACACACATTTGTATTCATATCTTTGTGGGGACTGTTCATTCATTTCCATGGGCATAACCCTAATCCCTCTTAGACTCTCAGAAAAAAGGGTAACAATTTGTACCTTTGCTTGTCATTGGGTCTGTACCCTTGCAATTGTACCTTTTAAGTTACAGAAATGGAACATCCTAAAGGTACAAACAGCATTAATGTACTGTCAATGGTACAGAAATGTTCCTCAGTCCATTTATGTACCTTAAAAGGTACAATTACCTACAGCTAAGGGTACAATTGGCAGACCCTTGAGGGTACAGCTCCAGTGACAAGCAAAGGTAATTTTTACCCTTTTTTCTGAGAGTGTATGACAACCTTATCCCTACTCAGCCCTAACCTTAACCACAAGTAATCAAACAAAATACAAACATTTTTAGTTTTTTGATTGCAGTCACAGATTTTTATGAAATTGAATTTCCCCTTGTGGGGACCGAAAAAAGTGGCCCCACAAGATCAAAGTATCAGGTTTTCAGTGCAATTGAGGGAATTAAAACACAGACCAGCCTGTTGTGACAGGACTGCGTCACTCCAGGTGACAGGATCAGGGGGTAGAGAAACAGGTGTTATAATAAAGATCAGACAGGGTTTATGTTTGTATTGAGGTAGGTATGAGTTGTTTTTTTTTTTAAAAAAGGGGTGTGTCCTTTCTGTTCTGAGAATTGTATGTGACTGTCCCATTCCAATGTCCCATTTAACGATCATATTGTTAGTGGCGCACCGATGTGGAAATAATTACCAATACCAGTAATCTCTGGGCCACTTGCCGAGCAGGGGGGGGGGGGGGGGATGATTGCCGGCACTGAAATTAGCCAAGCTTGTTGGCACAGTTTAGCAGAATTACATTATATCATTTTTTATTTTGCGGAAAACAAAACCTTGATCTCAGGGGCCGGATTTAATAAAGATTCAAGAATCATAAACATTTCATGCGTCGGTACTTCGAGACGGAATATGATTGATCATCAAATGCAATCTTCATCGTTATTTTGGTAGTTATGTCTTTAGGTCTGGCGCTGCAAACTTTGAATACTGATGAAGTTTAAATATCGGCCGGCAATATTGGTAACTGGCAGGCCAATGTCGTGCATCTCTGCATATTGTGCTATCTATCTTCATAAAGACAATATTTAATTTAAAATAATAATAAAGAGAAAAATATATTGCTTAGGAATCGTGAGAGAAAACCTTAGTCTCAGTTTTAAGGGATTTACATTTTGCCCAGAATCGTGCATTTTTTAGGTTTATGTTGCAGACATTAGGAAAAAAAGGGGGAAAAAAAACATGTAGCGTTAGCCAAGTAATAACACGTTTAAATGCCTGTGGTATGCACAGTGCGGACAGGCACACAGCTGCAGGCGCACAAACTTTCTTATTTGACTTTATGTCTCATTCAAACTTGACTGCATCAGCAAAGACATGAGTGATGGGTTCCAGATGTCATTGCGAATACACAGGCATGAATTCCGGAGTTCGATGATGGCCAGCCTCTGATCGCATGGAACTGTGGGAAGCCTGACTGGAAACACCCCCATTGTCCCTGCTTTAAGTCTATACTGTGTTTTTGATTATATGATTTTAGCCTATATAGTAGAGGTTACTGTGACTGCTATGATACACATCTTCACCCAGCTGAGGTCTGGAAAGTGCTTCTGCAGTCTCTCACTGAGAGGTTCAGAAGGAGCTTCTACCCTCAAGCTGTAAATACCTTCATAACAGCTATAATTAAACATTTGCACCTTCTACCATCCACTTTATAGAGCTATGCTGCACATCTCCTATGATGCACATCTTTTTCTCCCTCAGTTTTCCCCTTTATTTTTTCTTTCTTTTTCCCCTTTTTTTCTGTTCCTTAATTATTAAATATTTTTGTTTGTTTTTTTTTCTTTTTTATTCTTTTACTGATATTGCTATTTTTTTATTATTGCGGAGTTGACCACGCTTCATTTCAATGCAAGTTACAGTCTGACTGCATACCTTGTACGTGCTGAATAAAAAATACATCTTGGAAATCTGGATTTTGTATGAACTGTTACTCTAGACCAGTGTTTCCCAACCCGGTCCTCGGGGTCCCCCAGATGGTCCAGCCCGGTCCTCGGGGTCCCCCAGACGGTCCAGCCCGGTCCTCGGGGTCCCCCAGACGGTCCAGCCCGGTCCTCGGGGTCCCCCAGACGGTCCAGCCCGGTCCTCGGGGTCCC